ACTTTTTGTTTTTTAATTTTTACCTATACTGTATTTCATATATGTGCAATGCTCTGATACAGAGAGAAGGAAGGAAGTTCAGCCTCCAAGCGGCCACCCTGCAAATCTCTTTCAGCAGGTTCTTCATCATAGTAAATGTGGCTGCTGGAGTCGTGCTGCTAGTGGAGTTACCACAGATGGATCAGTCACCTCGAGAGAGTTCATTTAGAAACCCCTTTTCCCACAAAACCCTTGGAAGGACACAAACAACACATCTATATTAGAAATGGGCACCAAACTCAGTTCAGACGTTCATGATAGTTCATACACACGACACCACAGGTGCTGCACATTCCCTTCCCCCACCTCCCCGGCCACTTACCCACTCGTTCATACACACGACACCACAGGTGCTGCATGTTCTTTTCCCCCACCGCCTCAGCCAATTACCCACTTGCCAGCTGGTGCATGTTGCTCTCCTCCTCCTCTTTCACTGTTTGACCATTCCCTGGGAGGAGCAGAGGTTTCCCTGTCCTACCTCCTTGTCTGAGTGGTCAATCAACCAAGGAGGTGGGGCAGGGAAACTTGTGCTCCTGCCAGAGACTGGCTGAACAGCTGAAGAGGAAGAGAAGGACCACTTACCAGCTGGTAAGTGGGGAACCAACCAGGAAGGCAGGGGAAAGGAACATATGGTATCTGTGGTGCCACACTGAAAAACTGTAATGAACCTCCAAAACGAGATGGTGGGTGGGTGGGCGTGCGCACGCTCCCCTTATATACAATTTATGCCAAGTCTTTTCGAGAGGACTAGAGTGAGAGGGGCAAAAGGAAGTCAATATCACCTCCTGTGACCTGAGAAAGGTGGAATTTATCTTTGAGACAAAGGAAGGACTGAGACACAGGCTAAGAATGTTTCTAGGCATAAAACACTGCTCCAGTTGGGCCAATAACATGTGTATCTTAGATACCCTTCTGTCTGACATGATGGTCACAAGGAAAAGAGACTTCCATGCCAGAAGCTTCAAGGAAGTCTTGTTAAGGCGGCTCAAAGGGTGACTATGTTAAGGGTTTCAGGAATATGTGGAGACACCAGAAACCTGTGTACAGGAGGATGGAAAAGGTATGTGCCTCAAATAAAACCTCTTGGTATCTTGGTCAGTTCTTAGGGGCTTGCTCTCTATGCAGGGTTTCAGGAATATGTGGAGACACCAGGTCAGAAACCTGTGTACAGGAGGATGGAAAAAGTATGTGCCTCAAATGAAACCTCTTGGTATCTTGGTCAGTTTTTAGGGGCTTGCCCTCTATGCTTGGAAGAATGGAGGATAAAACTGCCAAATGTGTCTTCAGAGGATTACATTTTAATCCTTTGCCTGTTCTGTCCTGCAGAAAAGAGAGAACTGTTCTAACAGAAACAGTCAGAAGATCCTTGCCCTTCCTCTCTATACCATATTTGGAACACACTCCATAGATATGTGAGGTAGAGTCCCTCCTCAAAAACAAAATGTATTTATTTCTTCTACTTATATCCCGCCTATCTGGTCCCTATGATGGTTCAAAGTCCTTATGCTCTAACCTCAGCCTTTCAACAATCATGTCTGTAAGTGCAACCATGTTTGGTCTAGGTGGAAAACTTTGCCTTGGCTCAGGAAGTCCTGACATGGAGGAAGGGACATGCACCCTGACTGTAAACTGAAGTGCTTGGAGGACCATACATGCCTGGACCAATGCGGATGTGTGAATTACCTTCCTGTGTTCCAGACTCCCCTTCCTGAGAATGTGACCGAGCAGGGATAGAGGTGAGAAGGCATAAAGACGTCTCAGAAGCCAACGGGAGTTCAGCAAATAAAAGCCTTTTGTCCACACTGACTGAACCTGTCTCACATTGTTCTTTAATAATGCAAAGAGGTGCACAACTGTCACTCCAAACCATTCCATGATCAAAAGGAACTCATTATTGAATAAGTTCCACTTTTTGTCCTGGTCCATGTAGTCCAAGCATTCCCTGGACATGCTCTGCTTCTAAGGAAAGAAAATGAGACTTGGACCAAAATACTGTATAATGGGTACATTTCCTTCATTAGAATCTTTGAATGTGTGCCCTCCCCAATGATTTATGTGGGCCTTTGTGGTCACACAGACTGCCCTTACCAGTACAGCATGTCCCTGAATGTAGTCCTGAAAAGATTCCAGAGTTCTCCTCACTGCTCTCAACTCCAGCCAGTTTATTTTGGGGAGGGGCTGCTCTGCTGACCACTTGCTCTGGGATAGGAGTAAGTGGAAATGCACATCCCACACCCAAAGGCTTCCACCTGCTATGGTTTGAGTCCTAGTGAGAGGCAGGAATGCTTTTGTCCTTGTTCATCCACCAGTGCAGTGACTGGAGTACTTGATTCAGAAAAAAGAAGTTCTTCTGTTGTGCTAAATCCTTCTGATGGAGAAGTAACAACCACTGAAAAAATCTGGAGTGAAACCTCCCCTGGATATATAGTCTATTGTGAAAATCATCATGCCCCAAAGTCATGACATTTGAGGTACATGTAGTTCTTTTAGAATAGTAGACTGTATTTTTCCCATCCTGTAGGTGGAAAACTGCATTGTCCAGCATCTTATCCAGTGTCTATGAGCAACCCAGGTGTTTTAATACCTCGGGAATAGGTGGCCCTTCTCAATACTGACCACACATCCATGTGTCTTTAGCATGTGCAGGGTGGTCTGCGTATCTTTCTGGCCTTGACTTTCTATGAGTGAATTAGGAAATCATCTAAATAGGGGGAAATGTGTCTTTTTCTGCTGCTACAGCTGTTAGAATCTTTGTGAAGACCATGGAGAAGAAGAAAGGATCAGTCGTAGGGCCCCATACTAGTAATGCTTGTTCAGTCAGCAGAATGTACATACTGGCAGTTATTTGAATGAGTAGGTTGTGCAGGTGTGCTTCTGTGTGGTCCAGGGAGACTAGGAAATTACCCTTCTGAAATGTTTACAGGATGAAGAGTTTCCATTCTGAATCTCTTTCCTGACATATCTGCCTTTCTCCAAGTCCAAAACTGCACAGAAAACCTGTTCTTTACCACCAAGAAAAATGTGAAGTAGCAGTCTGGGAATGCTGGAGCAGATGGCACTAATTCTATGACTCCTATCTCTAGCACAGGGGTCTCCAAACTTTTCACAAGGAGGGCCAGATAATGTATTTTCAAGGGCTGAAGGAATTTTCTATATTCTTTGACTTTGGAGTTTGCATGAAAAGAGATTTCACTAAACAATTTCCCCCCAGCTAAAGGATGCAAGATGAGATTATACTCTTCTCTTCTGCCAGCTTGCCAATGTTTCAACCACACCTGTCTCCCAAATGGCATTGTTGAGGCTTGGGCAACAAACTGGATTACATCTAAGGATGCATTGTAGCAAATGCAGAGGCTTTTATCAACTTTTTTGTAGAATTAATTGAAGTAATTCCAAAGAAGTACTCCTCATGACAGAGGAAGCAGAAGCTGCCCTGACAAACCAGGAAGAAGCTTAATGGGTTTTCTCTGAGGCAGACAAACCTGTATCTGCAGGGTGAGCTCCCTGGCTCCTTGAGTCCAAAGTCCTCTGCCTTGAAAAGACAGGAGAGAAAGGATGTTGCACAGTGAGCTATCCAGGCAGGGAGGGAGGATTATTTGGAGCAGTTTTCCTGCCCCACCACTGATTGGACTTACCCTGATTCCCAAGAGATAGGTTTTATCAAATTACTACATTCTGGGTGAAGTGCGTCACCATCTGTATTCGCAAAGGCTTTCATGGCCGGGATCTATTGGTTGTTGTGGGTTTTTCGGGCTCTTTGGCTGTGTTCTGAAGGTTGTTCTTCCTAATGTTTCGCCAGTCTCTGTGGCTGGCATCTTCTGAAGATGCGGGCCACAGAGACTGGTGAAACGTTAGGAAGAACAACCTTCAGAACACGGCCAAAGAGCCCGAAAAACCCACAACAACCAGTGCTTCACCATCCTTAGGTCACATGTTTCAATCAAATGGAAAGTTGATATATAACTACAAGATCACACATTACAGATCAGTGCAGGAGGCTACACTTAATGACTTGAAGGGTTCCTGCCAGCATTAAAATTCAGTGGTTCAATGGTTCATAGAGTAGAAAGATCTAGCCTCCTAACACAGCAACAATTCCTAAAATGTCAATTGTAAATACACTTCTGCAAAACGAAAACCCAGGCAATACAACAGCTAGTATTCTCTTACTATCTGTGAAGACTCTCACTCATCCAGGTGAGATTATCTGGAAGTTGAGTCATGGCAAGTGGACTTCTTCCTTAGTAGTTGAAACGTTTTGCTATTCATCCAAGTAGCTTCTTCAGTCTGAGGAGAATTGGTAGGAGCTCCCATATGTCCACCGTGTTGGTTTCTCTTACTAGACCCTAATAAACTAGACCCACTGATTCAATAGGATTTATGTAAATATTGACTTTTTAAAGTAACTGACTGAATGGGTCTACTAACAATAGGATAATTAGATCTACTCCTGAGTAAAATACAGTGAATTACACTGTAATAAACCAGAAACCAAATGTTCGAAAGCAAATGACTTCTTTTGTCAAAAATCTGGGTTTATCGGCCCTTTCCTCACTTTTGGCTAGCCCCGACCATTGCTCAACTCCACAGTTTCCAAAACAAAGGCTTAACCGCAGAGTAACTATCGTAGCAAAAGTTTGTTCCGTTTAGGTTTAAGTGGGTAACTCTTTTCCTTCCCTGTTAGCCCCAAGGCGTGCTGTGGTTACCCGGAATGAATGCTTTAATCGGATTTACTCTCAAGGAATCGCCTTGCAGCCCTGGAGCAACGCCAGCGGAACCCGGGGGGGGGGCATCTCGAAAGCGTTCCTTCGGGGCAAAAAAAGTAAACACGGCCTCACGTGCTTTCAACCCCAACCCAAATCGTACTTCGCACCCCAGATCCGCGTCAACGAAGATGTCGTAAGAGGGGAAAGTCCCCCGAGGGTCCTTCCTCCTTCCGCGACCCGCCCACGCCAGAGGGCTTGGCACGCCTTTCCCTTCCTCGCCCTTCTCCGCTGCTCGCTTTCGAGGCCCGGACCTTCCCTCCACCCGCAGTTCCGCCTTTCCCGTAAGGGGCAGATTTCATTCATCCGCCGAGGCGACGGACGGTTGGCTCAGCGGACGAGGCGCAGCGCGGCGGAGCTCTCCCAGGTAACCAACGTCTGCCGGCGGCGGCTGCGAGGAGCTGAGGGAAAGGGCGGTGGTTGAAAACAGTGTGTATTGGCGCGGGGGGGGGGAGAGAAGAGTTAGGAACCGACGGAGCAAGGTGGAAAGAGGGGTCATTATAGCCGTTTGTGGAGATCCTCGACACCACCCCGGGTGGCCTGGAGGAGTCGGAGGGCGCCGGGGGGGGGGCGGGCGTTGTGAGAAAATGTCTCGTTGCCCCCTCAGCCAGCAAGGGGGAAACGAAGGCGTGCTGGGGGCGGAGATGGGCGCCGCTCGCAGAGTAGCTTCGCTTTCGTTTCTGCAGAAGCGGCTGTAGATGGGGGGGGGGCTCTCGCCTACGCCCCGTCCTCAATAGCCCTTTTCATTCTAAGGGCTCAATAGCAGCTTTTTAACAAATGTATACTCTGTCTTGAGGGCTTTTTTCACCGCGCGTGTAGTGGTGATGATGAGGAATGTGAGCTGCTGCCCTTATCAATCCAAGGGCAAGCGGCGATTCGTGAGGGAGCCTGGGCAGGGGGGGGGGAGGGTCTCTCGAAGTTTCCATCCGGGGGGCACACATGGACACCTAGCCTGTCCTTTACCCAGTTGGTGATATTCTGACGTCATGATGTTTGTGCCTTATGAATCTCCATGAAAAAAAAACCCATCCACATCTGGGGAAACGCAGAAGGCCTTGAGTTGGGGGGGGACTACAAACACACACACCGCCGGGGAGGGTGTGCCAGACCTTCAGTACTCCGGGAAAGGCGCACAGCCCACGACAGAGAGAAAGGCGGCATAGAGAGATGGGCAAGTTGTTATTTGCACCATCACCTAAAACGCAAAACAAACGTGCCAAAAAACAAAAGATGAGAGTGAGAGGATCAGAGACCCTAATGATTCTGACCCAGCAACTTCACGACCCCAGTAAGAAGAATGCTGGTATGGATCCACACACCCTAGTACGATAAAGTGTAGTAAACTAAGCTGGAGAAGAATGAAACAGAGCATTGCAGAATGTAAATCTTAGATGAAGTCTTTCACTCCTTCACCCTCCCCCATACATAAAATGACTTGGTGAGCAGTTGCAAGGGAATAAATACTGTATATATAACCCCTTTCCTCGTGACCTCATTCTGAGCCCTCCTGAGTGTGTCAACAGTTGGAGTGGCCAGGAAAGGCTTGGGGCTCTATCGGGGATGGAGAACTATCATTCTCCTCCTTCTTTGACATCAACAGTTTCTTTCCAGACACTGTGTATTACTTCCCTATCCCCAGGTGGAATTGTGAAATGGCTTTTAGGAGAACAAAAAACTGCTAGGTTGAACATGAAGAATTTATTGGGGAAGTGCTGTGCCCGTAAGTGATGACTCTCTACTTGTGGTGCCCTATGGGCACTCCAAAACAAACAAGGAACCCCTGATGTGGTCCATTTCCCCACTTTTTCTTCTAAAACTGTGGACATCCATAGGTGGTGGATTTTATTGTTTATGGATACAGTGGACCCTTGACTTACAGCTTGACTTACAGACTTTTTGAGTTACAGACTTCTCTGGCCGCAAAATTTAGGTTTGACTTGCAGACTGAGATTTGACTTACAGACCAGAAAAAAACCAAAATGGAACAAAAACGGCCTGTTACGGGATTAATCGGTTTTCAATGCACTGTAGGTCAATGGAGACTTGACTTACAGACTTTTTTTACTTGAGAACTGCCTTCTAATACGGATTAAGTTCTCAAATCAAGACCCCACTGTATGAGGTAACAGAGGAAAGTGGAGTTCCCAGTGTGGTGTAGTGGACAGAGTGGCTGATAGAACTCTGGAGAACAGGGTTCAAATCACTACTCAGCCATGGAAACTGTCTGAGAGAGTAGAATAAATAAAACCACTCCTTATCTATCCCACTTGCCCTGAAAGCCACCCTATGGTTTCTGTAAGTCAGTTCTGACTTGACAGCACTATAACAAAGCAAAGTAAAGTGTGCTGCTTATATACCACCCCATAGCGTTTCAAGCACTCTCTGGGCGGTTTATAAGTTAATTATGCAGGCTACACATTGCCCCCCCCCCAGCAAGCTGGGTACTCATTTTACCGACCTCGGAAGGATAGAAGGCTGAGTCAACCTTGAGCTACCTGGGATTGATCCCCAGGTTGTGAGCACAGTTTTGGCTGCAGTACAGCGGTTTAACCACTGCACCAGGAGGCACAACTGCACCACAACAACAGAGGGGAGGAGAGGGGGTGGCAAAGACTTCACATGTGACTCTTTCAGTTCCATAGTTAGTGCCACCTTCCCTGAATCTGTTGTACACATGTTTTGAGCTTCAAATTCCACCAGGCCCTAGCCATAATGTCCAGTGGTTGGGGCAGTAGGGCTTTTAGTCCAGAGCTACTGAGAAAGGCCCAGGGACGTGGTGGCGCTGTGGGCTAAACCGCAGAAGCCTGTGCTGCAGGGTCACAAGACCAGCAGTTGTAAGATCGAATCCACGCAACGGAGTGAGTGCCCGTCGCTTTGTCCCAGCTCCCGCCAACCTAGCAGTTCGAAAGCATGCAAATGCAAGTAGATTAATAGGGACCACCTTGATGGGAAGGTAACAGCGTTCCGTGTCTAAGTCCACTTAGACATGTGACCACGGAAGATTGTCTTCGGACAAAAACACTGGCTCTATGGCTTGGAAACAGGGATGAGCACCGCCCCCTAGAGTCGAACACGACTGGACAAAACTTGTCAAGGGGAACCTTTACCTTTACCTTACTGAGAAAGGCCCAGGCAGAGAAGGACAGTTTAAGTCCTAACTAGGTAAATTTAGACTTGGGAACTATGAGGTTGTGCTGATGGCTTTATAGAAGAGGTGGATTCTGAACAGGAGGTTTGAAATAAGGAAGAAGGGCAGGGATGTATGAGAGCAGAAGGGGGACAAGGGGGACTTTGAGCTTGTGCTGGATCTGGGTGTGGATACAAATGTACCTGCTAGGGAGATGAATAACTTGGATAATGGAGTGCCTTGTGGATCTGAGAAGGCAAAGGTGAGACACTAGTAGATCAGAGAAAATAGTAGCTTAATTGAGATATGAGTAGGATGTGGCTGGGAGGTTTTCCTGAAAGGAAAGTTAAGAAGGGCTATACTTTATCATCCTTTAAAGGGAGAAGTAGTGTAATATGGCTGTGAATAAAGCATAAGGAACAAGAGAGAGAGGTTTCATGCTCAAGCCTATCAGCCATTTCAAGATCACAGATGGTAGCCTTATTAATAGATAAGGTACAGCAATTTTTAAACAACCGTGGCTAAAGTGTGGCTAATGGGTCACATGTTGTACCCTCAGGCTGTTTTTGCATGCCCAGTGAGAAGTTTAAAATGATCCTACTTTTTAAAAAAATGTGAGCATCCAGACACTTCTGGGTTTACAGTTGGACCCCTGTATCTGCAAGAGATGAGTTCTATGACCTACCATAGATACTGTACCTGAAACCTCAGATATATGAACCCTATTTATTTATTTAACTTTTGTACTGCCTGATTAGTGCTGGGCACTACTCTGGGGAGTTTACAGCAGAAGTGAAGTCAATATAAAATGAAGTAACAAAAGAAAAAACTAATCACATATAACCAAATAATCAAAACAATATAATCCATTACTCAACTTTAAAAAAAATTATGGTAAGATGGGCAATATCAGAATATCAAACAATAATGTGTTAGGAGAGGATATCCTCAAAGACTTCAGTGAACAGCTTTGTGAACAGCTTGAAGCCTGAGAAGGCCAGGGCGAGGGCCAGCCCTATAGGGAGCCCATTCTATAGGGATGGAGCCACAACTGTGAGGGTCTGGTTTGTGGCCTCTCTCAGTGTGGCATCCCTTAAGAATGGAAGTACCAGGACTGTTTCCTGGTTTTTCATGTCTAATGCATTAATCATTCAGAGAGATCCAATAGATACTTGTTTCTTTTCAGCTGAAAGCAAGCAAATAGGCACAGTTTCCACATGCAGAAAACATGCGGAGAAGAAGTGCACCCCCGATACAAAAAGTATACATTTTTCTAAGGCAAAACATGAAAGAGGGGCTAAAGGGGGTTGAGAGGAGGAGGAGAAATGGGAGGGGATTCTGTAATTGGTACGAATTCCTGCAAGAACTGGGCTGTGGGCAGTAATTCATTTCTCCATGTCAGATGCCTGACTTCCCAAGGACAGGCTTCTAATTTAGAAATACCTTAATTGTAAATTGGAAGGAACTCAGATGGACACCCTCTCCTCCCTTGTTCATTCTTGCCTGTCTCAGCAAAACCTTAATATGACTGGTTTACACATTAATATAGCGAAGCAAGTTGCAGAAAGCAAGATGTAATCGGTTAGGCGAAGATACATTTTATACAGTATGTATTAACTGGACCCCTTCAGAAGCATGGTATGAGATGATTGGGATGTGTGGGCTGAGGTTCTTAGGGAAAGATGCTCGGACAAGTAGCAAGATCTCGGACTGTGGAGGACGAGGTTCTTAGGGAAAGATGCTCGGACAAGATCTACTTTATAAGTAAGAGCCAAAACCTTGAACCTGGCCTAGAACAACACAGGCAGCCAATGCAGGCAAGTCAGGACTGGGGAAATGTGGTTGAACTTACTCACATTTGACACCAGCCTGGTAACTGTGTTCTGTACCTGCCAATGTTTCCAGGTCAGTTTCAAGGGAAAACCCACATAGAGAGCATTACAGTAGAACATATTTGAAATCACCAGTCCATATGCAAACATCTTCAACTGCAGCCCCCCTGTACAGGTAGGGGCACAACTGGGCAATCAGCCTCAGTTGGTTAAGGCTGACCTGGGTGCAGCTGCAGTTTGGGATTCACATGAAAGGGCTGGGTTCAGGAATATGTCCAGATTCTGAACTTGATACCCAAGTGGGAGGGTTACACCACCCAACCTGGGAAGACAGCTCCCTAACCTGTCTGGAGGGACCCTCCAGAAGGAGGATCTTCATCTTATTCAGATTCAGCCTGTTAGCCTTAGTCCATTCCAGAACAAGGCCAGGCAGTGTTCATATAAAACATACAAGGAGGTGGGAGAAGGGCACAAGAGGGTGCTCTTGTATGTTGTATATAGGGCTGTGGGATGTCATGAGCAAGTGAAACTGTGAGGGTGCTCTTGTATGTTGTATATAGGGCTATGGGATGTCATGAGCAAGTGAAACTGTAGATACTGGTCTTGCAGATACAGGGATCCTATTGTAATTTTTATTTATTTATTTGGACATTTTCTATTGTTTCTCAGTCTAGTGCAACTTGCCCCTTGCACCCAGGGTTGCCAAAGGTGCTCACTCCTTCTCCATCCATTAGTCACAATGCAGGGGCAGTGCTTAAGCTGTCAAATTTACAAACCACAGGTTTGAGTTGTCTGCCTTTTCTAGTTATCTGCTGTCTTGGTGTCATAACCTCAGATTCAGTTGTCCGCTGTCTGTAAGTTAACACTCATGGCTGGCTCTGGCTGTCATAGACACACCCTGGTGTTTTTCTCCCTGTTTGAGGAAATGTGTTTGGTAAATGCAGAGGCTTTGTATCAGTGGATTCAGAGCTGCTCCTGATCTGTCTTGGAACTGTGCAGTTTGCCCAAGGCCACATAGGCTGGGTCTACTGAAAAGAAGCACAGTGGGGAATCAAACACCCAATCTCTGGCTCCACAGCTGGATACCTAAATCACTGAGTTATATTAAAACACTCTTCCCATGTTTTTTTCACAGAGACCTTTACTTTCATGTTTCTGGTCTCTACATGTGTGCCTCCATGGTATTTGAAGCTAGGGAGATGGGGGGAGAATTTGGTTATAAACCTCTTTGCTTCCACAGTGAAGATGCTTGTGGAAGTCGGAATCCTACAGACACAGCTAAACTCCCGCTTTATAGCCAGCAAGACCAGTGGTGAGAGTGGGAGATGTACTTCTATAACAACTGAAGGGGGAGAGGTTTGCTGTCCTGCTCTTAAAAGAATTCTGTTCAAAACAAACAGTGTTCAAAGTTGAAATCGATTGCAAATACCTTGAGTAATTTTAACTCCTTGTTAGAGATGGGCACTAACTGCCAAAGTGGCAATTTGTCTTGATTTATGGTTTGTCAGGGTTGATGAACCACAAACCACAAATTGCCAAATGTTTCACCAACAAGCCACAAACCAGAATTTTCTTAAGACAGCCCAAGGATGCCCACCCCACCACCACCAATGCCTCCACCCACTCTGCAAGCACTGCTACAAACAGCAGCTGGCTTCCCTTCAGGCAGGCCAACCTGTTCTGTCTGCCTATGGCCTATCAGTCAGCTGATTGGCAGGCCATAGGCAGACAGGGCAAGCTAGGTGGCCCAAAGAGAAGCCTGCTGCTCTTTGCCAAGGTGGAGGAGGTGGGCAGGAGGAGTAGGAAGGGAGTGGTGGTGGTGGTAGGAATGAACAAGAAGGTTTTAAATTGCCCCAAAATTTATTGCTTCAGGAAAGTTCGGGTTGTATGGTTTGGATGAACCCGAACCAATCCAAAGCAATGAACTGACGATTTTTCATGAATTTCCGTTTTGGTCTTCATGCCCATTTCTATTCATTATATGTTTCAGTGGATTATAGCTGACTTGAGAATTACTTGTTATGATTCTTATTGCAAAGTTAGTCACTTGTTATTAAAAAAAAAAAGCCCCCCCCCCCCGAAATAACTATCACAGCTATCTCTCTGGACATTTGAGTAACTTTGTATTCGCGAAGGCTTTCACGGCCGGGATCTAATGGTTGTTGTGGGTTTTTCAGGCTCTTTGGCCGTGTTCTGAAGGTTGTTCTTCCTGACGTTTCACCAGTCTCTGTGGCCAGCATCTTCAGAGGACAGCACTCTGAAGTAACTTTGTTTGTTTGGGCAAGGCTACTCTATGGCCACTGATATAAAGGTCACATAGTTTCATTACTGGCTTTGCAAGGGAAAATTCCTATTTTGAGCAAAGAGGAATAATGAATCCAGTATGCATGTACTTCCAGGAAGTGGTATGCTTCACAGAGAACAACTTGGTTTGTTTATTTAGTAAAGAACTAGATTTTAATGAAATGGCTTGCAGAAAGAACTCTGTTGTGAGAGGGAGGAAACGCACAATAGCAGGAAAATCTGTTGTAATCTCTCCATTGCAAAAGGAACTTTGAAAGGACATGCTGTTAAGATTATGGTTGTAACAAAGCGGCTCTCACAAACCACTTAGCCACACTATCCAGGCTTTTTTGGTCTAGTAAGTTTCAGGAGGGTCAGTATGCTAATTAATGGCTGGGTAAAATCACCCTGCCAATTCTCTTGATCACCCTGAATCCTTATAGTTCCAGGGAGTTCCCAAAGTTCACATTCTTTAATTTTCACATCAACCCTATGAGGTAGGAATACCAAAATAACCACAAAACATAAAAGGGTCTAGTAGGGACATGAGACAGGGTCTTTCTTTAGTGCCAACAAACCCTCTTCTTCCAGAATAAACAAAATGCTGTAAGATTTTTAGTATTTTATTGGAGGTCAGTTCCAAAAAGTTGAAGAGTAATCAAAAGTTCGTAAAGCAAATGCACATTCTAGCTTAGTGGTTTAAGCATGTGGGCTGCAGAGTCAAAAGTTGGGAGTTCGATTCCTCGCTGTGCCTCCTTGACAGGGGCAGGGCTCAATGATCCATAGGCTGTCTTCCAGCTGTGGAGTTCTAAGATTATTATATTTAAAAGATTTAAGCCTAGGGCAATTCCAGAACACTGGAAAATAAGAAAGGCAACTATCTTAAGCTACTTACATTGAAACAGAACTTCAGTATCATTAGTCAGTTCCAAAAAGTTCAAGAGTGATCAAAAGTTTGTGAAGCAAATGCACATTCTAGCTTAGTGGTTTAAGCATGTGGGCTGCAGAGTCAGAAGTTGGGAGTTCGATTCCTCGCTGTGCCTCCTTGACAGGGGCAGGGCTCAATGATCCATAGGCTGTCTTCCAGCACTTGAGTTCTAAGATTATTATATTTAAAAGATTTAAGCCTAGGGCAATTCCAGAACACTGGAAAATAAGAAAGGTAACTATCTTAAGCTACTTACATTGAAACAGAACTTCAGCATGATTGCAGAGTATATAGGTCAGTTAACAAAAGATCAAGCAAGAAGAAAAATTCTCCTCAGAGCAAATTCATACATGGTGGGATTTCATTATTTGAATTATGAATTTGTCATTAAACGAAGCGCTCATTAAGCAAGGCACTACTGTAGATCAATTAACAAAACAGCAAGAAAGAAGAAAATTTTCCTCAGAGAAAATTCATACACGGTGGGATTTCATTATTTGAATTTAGAAAGTAAATACTTGGCAGAATGCTTCTAACATTCTCGTTGGATTCAGTGGGGCTAATGCTTGGTTACTCAAGGTGCAAAGTTAAACGAAGCGCTCATTAAGCAAGGCACTACTGTAGATCAATTAACAAAACAGCAAGAAAGAAGAAAATTTTCCTCAGAGAAAATTCATACACGGTGGGATTTCATTATTTGAATTTAGAAAGTAAATACTTGGCAGAATGCTTCTAACATTCTCGTTGGATTCAGTGGGGCTAATGCTTGGTTACTCAAGGTGCAAAGTGAGAGTTTACAGGCTGTGTGCACCAACTGCTGGCTTATTTGCAGTAAACCATATTAAACCTACCATTACATGTGAATACAGCTAGTATTGTGTAGGTGAAGTAAAAATAAAACAATTGAAAGTAAAGGGATCAAAAACAAAATGATTTGATATATTCTCAATGTAGTGTATGGTTCTAGTCCAAGTACATTTCAAATTTACTAAAACCTGAGTAACATAACAAGTTGTTAAAAGCTGCTATGTTTTTGCTTTTTTCCCTCCACAGAAATAATTACACACAGACTGAAAAAAAATGACATGTAAGTAATGTGTTTCCCCCTTTATTTCTTGACTGATACTTTGTAGCAGTTTCAGAACATTTCTTAGAAGCTCCAGGAAGGTAGGAGTTGATGAGCCTGTTGTCTATAATTGAATTAGGTGCTGTAACTAAGTTTTCTAGCATATTTTTCTTGCCGGAGCATCTTTGCTTCTTGCAGTTGCAAGACAGAATAAATGTGCCAATACCTGTGGTTAGTGTATTCCTTTAGCAAAAAAAAGGCTGTGCCTGTTGAGCACTGGCGCTTGGCCTTTAAAGCCATTGGATGCCAAAATCTTATTGGAATATATGGTGATCTCATGCAGCTGTGAGAGCTGCATGAGATCATCATTGAGGCTGGTAAATGAATTGAGATTTTCCTGTCTTCTTGTGATAAGGTTCCTTTCTGTACCAGGAAGTCTTTGGTGGGCACAGGATGGGGGTAGGAATCTATAATAACCAAAACATGCTGCTCAAGGAGGAAAAGGTTAAGGTTGAACATCTGTTCTTCCTTTATTTCAGCAAATAAACCAGCGCCAGGCCCACCAGCTCCTGGCTACCCTGGATCTGGATATCCTGGACCACAAGCACAATACGGATACCCTCAGTATGCTGCAGGACCTGGTCAATATCCTCCTGGACCGGGCTTTGCAGGTAAAACGTTCGTATGTGTGCAGACTTTTCATTCGACTTCTCCCAAAATGAAAATTTATTGTGAAAATGTCCACGATCCCAATCAGCCAGAACCTTCTACTTCTTTTTGACTGTTCAGGATTTCTATAGGTAGGTATGACATAAAAGCCAGTATTATTACTGTTACTTTGAAACCAAAAACAAACAGAAAGCAAGCTGCAGACAGAAAACACCTTGCAAACTAAGAACATTCGGTGGTTACGTTGTTGCAAAAGCATCTATTTTTAGAAGAAAGCATTCCTACATTGAAATGAAGCTACATTATTACCTCAGAAAACTTTTGAATGGAAACTAGTGAGGAATTTCTTTTATGTGTGCCTTTCGTGCATCCCATGTACCTGCTAAGGAAAAGAAAAACATTTATTTCTTAAAGACACAGGATCCACTGCTCTCCCATCTTTCTCATTTAATGCTGTTTTTAAAGTATTCTGTCTATTAACTTATTTGTGTTTAGCTTAATCTCCAAATTTATAAATAAATGATTCAATAGTCTTTTGTAAGGTGAGTCTTTACCATTCTATGGTCAACTGTGCTGGAGACAGAAAATACTAAGGATGCCTTCTATGATGGGACAGATGTTTTCCACTCCTGGTTTAAGAAAAGAAGCCTACATCAAACTCTGGATTGGGTCCTTACTTGTTTCCCAGAGGCATGCTTGGGCATTCTTACATAACAAAGTACCACAGTTAATTGAAAAATGGGAGGAATTTCTAGTTACCTTCTCCATTAAAGCTACAAGGAGGAACTTCCAGTCTCCTCCTCCTGGCTTTACCAGAGAAGGTAAAGGGAGTTGAGATGTGCATTCTGGGAGTTGTTTAATTTAATCATTTATAGAAATTGTCAGATTCATTCTAGAGGTGGTGGTGGTAGTAACACAATGACAGAAACTTCAGATAATGAGAAATTAGGACACTAAGTCATCAGCTTTCATCTCAACCTTTGGGGGAAAATAAGTTTACAAAGATTGCCTAAAGTTAATTGCATGCTTTTAGTCATCTTGTAAGTCAGTGATAAAAACAGGAACACCACGCGAAAAGTAGCAGTAGAGAACTGTAAGAGTACAGATGTGGATTATATTTAATATTAAATGCTTGTTGACATCCTAGGACCTGACCTTTAAAGCTAGATATTTCTGGGGTTCTGTCAATGAAAAGATATGGAACTTTCTAAGTTCCTTATTCAGAATTCAAGGTTGCATCTCACACAGACATAATTTTAATGCCTCTGAGTTTTGTTGTCAGTCAGAATCAGACTGCAGCTTCATGTCTCATACTGTTGGCTTATGAGGGTTAGGATTGCTCGGAGTTTTCAACCAACACTGTCTGGCATGCCCAACCTTAATGCTGGATGTTTAGAGTTGCTGTTGGTAACTAAGTAAATCAGTTTGTTGTTTTTATCTTTGGAACTAATCATGAAAAAAGAACTCATTTCATTGTTTTCAGGTCCATCTCTTTCTTAACTAAAGTTCACAAAAGAAAATGTAAATAAGTTGCGATACCTTTTATCTTCCTAAATGCTCTAGAAATAGATAGAGAGGTAAAATAAAAGTATATGTAAGAAGTGCAATGGTCAGTGAAAGCTGAAGAGACTTGGAGCACCACCAGAGTACAATATTTCTAGACCATGACTGATTATCATTAATAAATCTTTTGACTGCCCTAGCTTACATATGCATTGTATTTGCTTATCTACATCTATACACATAGAGGCACTTTTAACCATCTAATTTCACATGAATACATCTGTGTTCAGAGCTCAGGCCCAGGTGACAGAGCTTCATAAACAACAACAGTAGTAGTAATGAGAGAATATAGTTATGCCTCTAACATTGCTTTTCTGAAATACATTAATTCTGCTGGCATAGTAGGAAATGCAAGATGGCAGTTATGTGAATAATAGCCCCTTCCCATGTGGCTTTTTATATTCAGACATCAAAAGGATGCATTAATCTCTTGGAAGAGACACGTACTCAGCTAATGCATCCAGTAGATCATTGGAACTTAAAAGTCATTGGGGAAAAGCACACTGTCACCTCCTTGCTTGCTACTGCAGAAAAATACTCTTATCCATACTGTAGAATGATGGGGGAATTGTTGATATGTTATGTTCCCATCACTGAAAAGGTGGGAAGGCAAAAGTGTTGATCAGAAACAACCGTAAAGGCCATAGTTCAGCATATAGTGTGCTTTGTGTTTAGAAAGTCCCATGTTCAGTCCCTTGTAGGGCTGAGGAAGACTCCTGTTTGAAACCTTAGGTAGCTATCACTAGTGAGGAAACAGGCTGTTCTAGATGGAACAGTGGAGGAGAAATTATTTTCAGAATTTCAGGGTGAAAACACTCCCTCTGATTGGCTTCTGAATTCTCACTTCTAGTATGTATAGATATTACTAAGCTGAATGAAGTAGTGGTCTGACTTGGTATAAGGCAGCTTCCCATACAGGTTGGTGGTATCATCATGAACTGTGGTGCAGTATCACAGCTGTGGTCTCCCTCTGGGGCACTTTCTCTGCACCAATTCTCCACACAGGAGCAAGCAGTATATGAAGGCCTTAGGAATGGACCTCAACAGATGGGAAACTTTGACATCTGAGTGTTCAGCCTGGAGGCAGGCGGTGCAGCATGGCCTCTCCCAATTTGAAGAGAAACTTGTTCAGCAGGCCGAGGCAAAGAGGCAGTCCCGAAAGCAGCAAAACCAGGGACCTGGACAGGGGACAGATTGTCTTCAGTATGGAAGGGATTGTCATTATCGAACTGGTCTTCTCAGGCACACTAGATGCTGTTCAAGACCTATATTCAGAGCATGTTACCATAGTCTCTCAAGACTGAAGGATGCCTACATAGAGGTGGTGCAGTTTGTTAATGTGTTGGGTGTGAACTAGATGCCCCGATTGTATCACTGCTGAGCTAAAAAAAATCTCTTGGTGGTCCTGAGGGGGTCAGCAAATTTGCTCTCAACCTTTCCTGCCTTACAAGGTTCTTGCAAGAATAAGAATGTGGAAAAGAAGAAAGCTTCCCTTAGCTTCTGGAAGCGGCATGGATTAAAAATAACAACTGGAGTGTTAAAATGCAAAATATAAACTAAACTATAAAACTAATTATGTTCATTATGGACTTCCATTGTAAGGCATAGGGAGGCTTTTAAATAATTGCCCAAATCTTGTTGCACAGTTGTGCAAAAGGTGTACTTTTTAGTGGTAAATTGCTGTAAGTTAAGAAACCTCCATAAGCGTTATCTCTTGTTACTGTTGATACTTGGTGTGCAACAAATAATACTTACAAAAAAGTCTTAACTTATAACAGTTTGCTGCTAAAAGTTGTGCCTTTTGCAGAACTATGCAACAAAATTTCATCCAGTTTGTGCTTGAGTAAATGCCTCCCATTAAAACAGACATCTTACTAAAACATTCCCTGCTAAGGATTATGAGTGGCTTGGGGGAGAAAAGGTGTTTAACGGAAAAGGGAGGAAAAACACAGGCTGAAATCCTATTGCTTAGTGCGGTAAGTAGAGTAGGCCCATTGAATCAGTAGGGGAGAATCTAAAGGAAGCTCCCAACTAGCAATGGGGCAACTTCCTTTCTGGACAAGAAACTAGAGCAGAGCTCAGTCTATTCTAGACCACAAAGTCTTCCCAGGAAGGCCTTTTCTCCAGGTGAGCCAGATATAAGTGTATCTAGCTGTGGATCTGTCAGGTGCAGCTCACAGAATGGAGAATTATGGTGTTTGTAATACACAACAAAATATCCAAAAATCCCTTGCCCAGTGTTGGGCCCTATACAGTTTCATATTGTTTATGGTTGTAAAAATCAAATCCAGTTCTAGAAAGAAATGCATGGTGAGCATCCTTTAAATAGTGGAGAAATATGTTCACTGAAGAAACAGTTTTCTCTGCCTTTGTGGTACAAAAAATTATATATCTTCTGTGCTTAGAAGGAAATGCATATAAATATATAATAACATTTTTAGAACAAAGTAAAAATGAAGAGAAAAAGAAATATGTTGTAGGAGCTTTAAGGCTAACAGATCTATCCCAGTGAAAGTTTTTGTGGGTTACAATCTGCTGTTTTAGACATAGACCAAATAGATTGAAATCCACAAAAGCTGAAGTGTAAAGAAATCTAGTAATCTTAATGATACTATACAGTAATACTATTCTTCCCTCTTTTTTCTGTGGTTTTTGTATTCCTGTTTCCATTAAACAAACTGGAATGGCTACTTCTTTAGAAACAACTGTATATCTTTTGAGTTCAGTGCTATTGCCTGTTTGCAAGAAACTGGTTAAGTTTGCAATCTCATACATAAAGGAGAGGCAGCCTTTGGGCTTTTGAGAGGAACTTCTCTAAAATTATTATTTTTGTAAATAATAATGACCAACTGGAGCCTGATAGAAATGGCATTTACCTAAAATGAAAGAAGTTTGAGACCCAGAGTTTGTTTTGCGTTCTTAACATTAATAGAGCTTTGCAGCAAATTTTCTTCATTTTAGCAGTATAATTGAGGGTGGGAGTCACTTTACTATTAGTGTTATTAAAAAGTTGGTAATTAAAGTCTTTGCCAGTCTGTGGTTAAAGAAGCAAAGATCCTGATCAACTTCTTGCTCTTCCTTCGCTACACATGCCTATTTGGTAGCAACTTCTGTTGACTCAATAGGTTTTCCTTCTGCATAGATATATATAGGATTGCATTATATAAGAATTCAGTACATTAAGCTGCCTCCCAGCATATGATTCAGTGAAGAAGACAATCCACTTCAGATGGTCCAAGTGAATCCCTGTGTTTTCTTATCTCTGTGTTGTGCTGTGCTATATGTCCCTGAAAGCTATTATGTTAAATCAATTAACTGTGGTAATCTGTTTGTTTGTTTTTTGCAAGCTGCTCCAGGTCAGCCTCCATATACATTCCAGGGGTATCCAGGACCTTATGGGGCTCCCCCTGTTCAGGGTCAGCCTGATGGTGCTCCTGGTGCAATGTGGATGCCGCCGCCACCTCCACCTCCCAACTGTCCCCCAGGTTTGGAATATCTAACCCAGGTACCTCTCTTTTCATATTCTCTCTTTCTCTGTCTGCTAACTGAAAACCTATCTGTATTGTTCCACTGAGTTTGTCACATCGTGTTTTGAGTCATCACTCCCATAGATCCAGCCACATACAGGTGAAAGTATTAAGAACTATATAGAGCTTAGAGTTAAAATATTGCTAAAATTCTATCGTGTTTTACCATGGGCAAAATGGTGATCATAAAAGCAGTTTTTACTGTGTAAGAAGGGCATGGCCAGACACAAGACATTCAGTCAGAAAGAGAGCTAGCTTTGCTTGTGTGCTTATCCCTCCACAATCACAATAAGATTCTGGTTCTGTGTGTTTAAAACAGTTGTTGTTCATCACATGGCTGCCAATGTAGAACTGTTAAATTCATATAATTACCTATTATGGAATTGGTAGTCACTATTGTCTTTCGTTCTTACACAAACTAGAAATATTTTGAGGTGCATTTTGTGATTCAAAACATATGCCAAACCTCAATCCTTGATCAGGTGCTAGAATAAGACCATCTCTTTGTTCTCCTTCACGTGTGAGAATTCATGCAAAGATGATGGCAATATGGAAGAACTCTTCTCTATCTGTACCTGTTTGCTAAACTCTTTTGGTTTAGGAAGTTGAAGGTACTGGTAAAATTTGATTTAGGAAGTTGAAGATACTGGTGAGTATTTGGACTGTTGACTACATTGAGAGATGACAGGAACAAATTGTCTCTGGATGGCCGTAGCAGCTGTTGAAACTGATAGCTTACAGTCACTCACCACATGGAGGCAGCTTGAGGAGCTTCTGTTGGAACTGGCCCAGAATTCTGCTCACAATAATATATTCCTTAGCTGCATTCGTAAAGTTACTTTTTGTCCTCTCACAGTTAGTCTGACATAAAATTAGCTTATCCAATTCTAATTTTTGACACATTTATCATGATGTTTCTCCCACTTAAGCTGCTTTGTAAATGCATGTGTTTGTCTCCCACTTAAGCTGCTTCATAAATAAATGTGTGTAGAGTTGAGTTGGTTTTACTTACCGAGCTATCTCTATAAAAAACACAAAGGACACATTAAGATAATTGTGTGCTGCAATTGGGTGTGTGTATGCAAAATTTTGTTTCTGACATTTGACATATATTCTTTTCATCCTATAACAGATCGATCAGATATTAATTCATCAGCAGCTTGAACTCCTGGAAAGTATGTATCTTATGTTACTTAAAATCATTAATGCATAGAAAAATAGTTTGAATTATTTTGCCTCAAATGTTTAGAGCAGGAATGAAACCGTGTGGCATTCCAGATGGTGGATTGCAATTCATTTTTCCCACTTTAATAACTATGGTGTCTGGAGCTAATGGGAGTACCAGTCCAGCTCTCAGTGGGGTGGGGCATTATTTTCCAATACTATTTTAAAAGTATTTTCCCCTCTACTAATACATATTTCCCTATTCTGTAATTCATATGACTGAAATTGACATTCATTGAGATCCAAGACTCAGGCATGTGCAACTAGCAGACAGAAAAAAAAGATCACTTCCCTACTTCAGTTGCTACACAGACAGTGCTGAATGGGGCATATCGTTATGCAAGAAAAAGGAAATTTTCTGATAATCAGTTGAAAGCACATCTCATGAGTGGCATTCTGCTCATTATGCTCTTCAGTTTTCAGAGACCTATCCACTGCATTCAACATATGAACCACCCCATTCTAGTGGGTCTTCTGGCCTACTTTGTGTCATTTTTTCATGACTTCCCTGGGGAGGACTGGGCAAGGAGATGGACTTCACTCAGCCCAGCTGCATTTGCCAAAGTGTGATATCCACTGACTATTTTTCCATATTGTTATCTAAATGTTTCTTACACTGGCTTTCTAAGGACCTCTATCAGTGTTTACTTTCCAGATGAGGGGAAGTGTACTGCTCTTGGTGCCAGAATATCGATGCCAAACTTTGCTGTTGAAATTCTCTGTATGAATTTTTAAGATGTAGGCTTCTCTAAAGGATTGCTTTGGTGGCATTAAGCAAAAATAAAATGGTGGTTGGTCTATTCAAACCTTAATTCAGATTACCTGAATTAATTTCTAAAGATAAACATTATGAATTCCATTGCTGGAATTCATGTTTTGTGTGCATGAGATAGGCTAGCTAGAAATTGTGTCTGCTAATTATACATTCTGTATATCTGGATTCTTGAAGACTGTTACTTTTTTAAAAAAAAAAGTTTTAATCGGATATTTGTGTTAGAACTTGAGGACCCTTCTGTATAATGAGGTTCTTACCTTTCACTTGACAGACAGGATTGCCTATGTTACAAATTTTGCACTTTGGTCCTTTGCTGATTTTCCATTTGCAGACATCTTCCCTTCTGTTTTCTTAATTTATTTACTTAATTAGTTAGTTAGTTTATACTCCACCTTTTCCCCCAAGAGGACCTAAGACTCCTCTGTCATCAATGCTTCAAAATGTTGTGTCAAAAAGTCCTTCTTGTTCACCCAAATGAATGATGTTGTTGAGTTCTACTTGCAGTTCTGTGTGGTTCAACTTGTAGCTTACTTATTAAAGATAACAGGATATCTCTTCCCTCCAGAAGTCTGCTGCAGTAGATGGCTTTTTGTAGACTCCAACTGAGTCCTGGTTTCAGCAATCTACCAATCCATACAAGTACTGGCAAAGAGTGTTTTGCTTTTCCTTACGTTTAAGAGAAAAAGGGCTGAGGAATGAAGTTGGATCACTGAGTGAAGCATAAAATAGAGGAGCTCCAGCCAAATCTTTGACTTGGCACTCAGTAAGGTTGGAGTTAGATCAAGTTCCCAGACATTATCCAGCTCAAGATAATTTGTTTCTCCCTGTATGTTTTCCCAGTTTTGTTTAAACGTTCTCTGCACAGATCAGCTAAGGTCTCTGTCAGGGCCAAAGGATGCAGTACTTCTTCCTCTTTGCTGCCATCCCCATGCACATATACACAGAATGTGAATGTATTCTAAATGAGTCTTTTTATCTAGTATCCATGGGAGGGATGTTACATCTTAAAGCCAAACCACTGTAAGATTCCTTAGACCTGAACCAACAATTATGGTAGATCTATGAACATGGTTGCTGAGTATTTCTTCCCCTTTCTCTGTAATAGGCAGTGAATGCTGCTGACTATGGTGACAGTGTAATTGTTCTACAAGCCGTTGGTTCCCCACCCCCACTATTAGAACAGGAAAGGAGAAATCGATCCATGGTTAAACATCTGGGTCAGCCAAACACCTTCATTCCTGTTCCTTTCTTTTTTCAGTTATCACTGGCTTTGAAACATGCAACAAATATGAAATAAAAAATGCTATGGGTCAAAAGGTGTATTTTGCTGCTGAGGAGAATGACTGCTGTACACGCAACTGCTGTGGACCATCACGACCCTTCACAATGAAAATCATGGATAATCTAGGCCAAGAAGTCATAGAACTCACACGACCTTTGAGATGCTCCAGTTGTTGCTGTCCTTGCTGCTTACAAGAGGTGAATTGCTTGTTGCTTCTTGGAGTCCATTTTTCATGACATCACTGTATTCTCTACTTATGGCTTCTGCCCATGATCTATGTTCTTCCTTTCAAAACCATTCAGTGCTTCTGCATTCCGCCTTACATACGTCAAGCTCAAGACCAAAGTCTGTGTTACAGATAACATGTCAAAAGAAGCTGAAATCTCATTTCTAGAAATGTGATTTTGGCAGGTATTTGGGTCTGAGAAACCAGATTCACAGATAAGCCTATGTTTACCTCCTAAAGACTAATCAGGAAACAAATGAAGCTAATTTGCAAGCGATGGAAGGTGTGAAAAACTCCTGCTGTGACAATCAGATGATTTGAACGATAAGGAGATTCCATCTTTTAATAATTTGGTCTCTGTATTGTGTAGTCTGAGTTTCATACAGATTGTGGCCAGTGTCTTTCACCTGTCGAGGTCATCCACTTTCATCCTTCCAAAAGTCACCAGTTCCCTTAAATGGCTCTACTCTTCTTTCTGAAATTCCCTCCAAGAATATATCTGCAATGCCATGTCTTGTGTTCTCTCAGAAATCACCTTTTCTGTGATACTTTATTATATACTCTACTCAAGGAGTGGGCAATTGTTACTTAATTGCGGATCTCAATAGGCATACCCAAAGTAGCCAATGGTTAGAGATTCTGGAAATTGTAACCCAACAACAGCAGGAATGCCACCCCTTGTTAACATCCTTCTGTAACTGAAGGTGAAGCTGCAGAGTTCTGCCCTTGATTGTAGGGTTTCTACTCAATGTATTTATAGTAGAGGTAGGCACTCACATATTACAGTGGCTGAAATTCTGTTGCCTAATTTCCACTTTGGAGAGGTAATGGCCTCACTGGCAGGGGGTCAGTTTTCAGTAATTAAAACGTCCTACTTCTCCCATATTTTCCAGCTCTCATAATCCCTTTCAAGCTTTGGGATGGAAGGAAAAGATATTTATAAGAGGAGTTAGAAACGCTTAATCCTTTGTGCCTTAGACTTTTCAGAACAGAATTTGCACCTGCTGTACAAAGAAATCCTATAAAACAAATGGGACCAATTTTGTAGGCCCAAGGCTCCATCCATGATTGAAATCACAATTGGAAGAGACTGAAGAACCATTCTATATTTCTTGTCTGGTTTACCCTATTCTTTGCTTGCAATGTGGGACAAGGCTCTCTGACAGAACTAAACAGTTAAATCCATGTTTTTCAATGTGAAATTATCACTGTGGAATATGCCCTGTGCCATCCAGTAAATTAATCAGAAAATAATATTTTACAATTTTTTGAAAATGCAGACACTTCCTTTCTTATTTGATCTTAAAGCACTTCCCTCTCTTTTGCACCGATCTTTGTAAAAATCAGGATCCGTTGTAAATAATCTGTCATGTTTCTCTCTCTGACCTCAGTCATTAGTTATGTGATTCTCTCCCTCTCTGACTCCAAAAAGAAGCTACACATAAACACACATACACACACACTGCATTGTTTGACACTCCTTTCTTTTCCTTTATTTGATTTTGGCAGAGGTTAAGTCGTAATACAGACAGATAGATAGATGTATATGAAGGCCAACCTGAACTTCCTTCCTTGCTTACTGGATGACCTATTTTTCCCTGTAGCTTGAAGTTCATGCCCCCCCAGGCACGCCAGTTGGATATATTAAACAGCTCTGGGATCCTTGTTTGCCTAAATTCACCATACAGAATGAAGCCAAAGAAGATATCCTGAAAATTGTTGGACCCTGTATAGTGTGCAGCTGTTGTGAAGATATTAATTTTGAGGTAAGTTAATACTCAAACCTTACAGTTCAGTCTCTTAACAGGAGCTAGGAGTGTGCAGCACTCTAAAAGTTGCTGGAATTCAACTCCAGTCACTCCTATACAACATAACTAATGGTATGAGACTTAAGGGAATTGTAGTAATTACTGGACAGCCAAACATTTCCCACCCCATATTTATCCCATTGGCTCTGGCCAGTGGGCTTGTGAAGAAAACACCAGGCATTTTATTTTATTTTAGTTCTGTGCTACACCACATAATCAGATGAGTTTGATGTCATTTTAGTGACTATGCCTTTATCCTATACTGTAGAATCCTGGAATTTATAGTTTGGTGAGGTAACAGAAATTTTGCTTGAAATGTCTAATACACATCCGTGACCTACAACAGAAAAGTCTGTCTCACTAGGCAACAGATCCCAGGACTGTACACCATGACAGTTAAAATGGTATCAAGCTAATGCATCTGTGTAATGTAGACACTTGTAATGTTTAAAACTATTGCCTTTTTCATTTGGGAGTGGGGGATACTCACTTACTGAGTTACTTATTTGTCTGTTTTTCAAATCTTTGCTGCCCTAAGACTCTAGGCTTGAAAGGAAGTACAGTCAGGTCTTTGCTACCAGCTGCAAGACCACTACAGATGACAAGGAACTGTGTGGACTAGAGTGAATTAGCCAAAATGATCTATTTTGCTGTTGAACCAAGAAAAGTCTTGTCAGTATCAAAAAGACTTTCATCAGTGCAGGGGCACTAATTGGCCACAACCCAATAATTAAAAAAAATGTATATTGCAGTAATAATTATTCTCATATTTGAGGTGATATTCTGCAACTGATATTCCAGAATTGTTAGCTATTTTTTTTAGAAAAGTTAGATTAGGAATGAAACAATTTTCATTTCATTTTCGAGTAGCTAATTTTGTTTTTGAAAAATTTCAACAGGAAGAGACTTTTGCCATCCCCTTCAAATGAGCCCTTCTTGTGTCTCCCCCTATTTTTTTATTATTAGTCTTGCCTAATTTAGAACTGTGTCAGATAAGTGCTGCAATTTCACAAGCTGTTATGTCAATTCAGTGCTATGTCACTTCCCAAAAATCCTTTTTTAAAAGAGCAGGGACGGGGAGTATTAATGACAAAATATGATGGGCAGCTGTGATCTTAGTGAGAAACAGAGCAATTTGAGGTGTGGTGTGGACTGTTGCCCCTTAAAATTGCATAAACAACAGCAGCAGTTTAACTTTCATTAGAAACTTTAAATTGATCCAAATCAACTCAAGACAACCTCCCTGTCTAGTCATACCCAAATACACTTCAAAATAACCTTGTTTGAGTGTTAAAAGAATAATGTTTTTGTCAACATGCTTAGTGTGGAATGCCTATCTACACCCCTGTATTGTTGTTCTCACCACACATTCACCAGTGAGTCTGGAGAAGAGAGATTCCTGCTTGCTAGAAACTCTCAACATGAGCAAGAAACCATGAAAATCGGGACTCTTCCTCACATGGAAAGTCTTCACATGGCCAATTAACCATTTCTTCAGATTTGTTGCTAAATGTATGTGGATGGTGATTATAGTTTGGCAGGAGTATGTCTAGCCATTCCATTCTAACCATTTTGACAAATTGGGGTAACTGATGCATAACATAGGGCTACTACAGTGTGTAGACATGGCTTAAATATCTTCATTCTTCGAATCTGACCCAAAAGAGAGAAGATTTTGTGACACCTGCAGAACTAATAGATTTATTTTAGCATGAACAGTCACTTCCTCACATTTGTTACAAGGGCTTTTTACCATCGAAGATTGTCTCCCTCCTTCCTTATTGTTTTGTTGTTGTTTTTAAGGTAAAGTCAACAGATGAGAAGAACACAGTTGGCAGAATTTCTAAGCAGTGGACTGGCTTTGTGAAAGAAGCTTTTACTGATGCAGACAACTTCGGAATCCAGTTCCCATTGGACCTTGATGTTAAAATGAAAGCTGTCATGCTTGGGGCTTGCTTCCTTATAGTAAGTCTAATAGTCTCACATGCTGGGCCATTGGTTATATTATGACTCACTAAATACAACAGAAAGCACTCTGTTCATGTGCCTGACTCCCAGTTTCTTCTGAGACACTTTGAACCTTATCAGAATTTCTGAATGTTATAGCTGATAGGCAGTGTTGTAAATATCCCATGTGCTTGTCTTAATTAAAAAGCAGATGAGGTTTGCTGGCACTGGTTGGAAGTACAGTGGGCAGCTTTGGCATAAGTCCTTGCTTTCATTCCAGTAGCTTTGACCAGTCTATACTATGGAACTACTATAGTCTCCCATTGATCCAAGATGGATGAAGGAAAACATTCTGAGTGATTCAGAATTCTTAGGATGATGGAATGGACCATTTAGATGTTTGCGTTTCAAGGCAGTTGTGTCATTTATTAGAAAATGGAAACAGAAAACCCAGCAGCTAGCACTGTGCCAAAATTTATCTCATGATAAATTTGGATCATTTTCTTTGATAGAAGAGAAATTCATTTTGAAAAGAATTTCAGATGAGAAGACATTTCAGAGCAATACTTTTAGGTGGGGTTGATGTTCTTAATCTTCCCTTACTGGCTAGTTAAGAAATATGTGTGCATGCTTTGTCTTTCATTGTATAATTATCTCTGTGTCACTTGGCAATCCCTCCCCCCAATTCCAGCTTTCCACACTTCAGATAAAGTACACAAATGGCATAAGGTAGCTACCCTGTTTCCCCTAAAATAAGACACAACCTCAAAATAAGCCCTAGTATGATTTTTCAGGATTCACGTAATATAAACCCTAATCCCAAAATAAGCCCTAGTTAAGTGAAACCCTGCCCTCCATTCTTGTGCAGCAACCAGAAGATGACATGACTGCTTGAATAAATGTAGATGGTTGTACATGACAAAAATAAAACATCCCCTGAACATAAACTCTATTGCATTTTTGGAGCAAAAATTAATTAATATTTTCAGGGAAACAGAGCATTTCCAGAGGGCTTTTGCAAATCAGGATGTGCGAGCTGGCCAGGAAATCTGCAGAGCGATAAACAGCTACTTTATCTCATAATGTTTTGATAAATGAATAGAGTCAAAAAGTCACTGCAAAAAAAAAGGTTTTTTAATTGGAAAATAAAAGGTAAGGGAAATTATATGATAGGTTATGCACAACAGGAAATCCTAGAGCAAAACATAATACAGCCCTCCCCCATAATCACTATAAAACTTAGAGGACAGACAGTTAGTGTACAGGGAGCACAGACACAACAGCTGATCCAAATGGAAGATGTAGTAAGGTGCAAAAAACTACAGAACTTTTGATGCAAATTTTCTCAGATGACATTTTTTCTGAGAAACATTCTGACGTTTTATTTTCCCCCCCTCCTACCCAAGTAGGTTACTTTAAATATTTATGTCTAAAAATCTCAATTATTTTGGCTCTCTGTTTCCTGACTAGCAATACCACAGTGCCCTGGAATGGTGCTTGGTAGAAAGAATTAAGGAGGAAGCAAAATGGTGCCTAGACTGCCAACATTGTGATGGTTGTATCTGTGAAACTGTTGGAAGCTTTCTTCTTTGGACAAATTCTGTGAAATTGCCTCCCCTCCCACCCCCTACACAATTCTGTGCCCATAAGTAGTGTAGATAATTTCAGAAGACCATTCATATGCAGCTATAGATGCAAACATATTCTTCTGCCTTCCCCTAATTGTGTATTATTCTGGATTCTGTGGGTTCCATTCCTTAAGAGTTTTCCTATTAAAGTTTGATTTTCAACTATTTTTTTTTTTAAAAAAAAAGTTAAAATGGAGCAATGAAAGGGTTTGCCTTCTAAAAAGAATTTGTCTAACTATTGTCTTTTGTTTGTGTCCCTTGTATAGGATTTCATGTTTTTTGAACATGGACAAAACCGACAGCAACGAGCTGGGGTCTGGTAACAACTGGGTTGTGCATTGTAAATATTTCAGAGGCGGCCCTTGCATTACTTCTGTCTTTGTCTGGCTAAAGTGGAAAGTGAAAGATTTTCTTAAAATTCTTATGCCGGAATCATAGATGCACTGCTTGAACCTATATTGCTGGAATGTTATGTAGGAGAAAATAATGAATAACACAGTGAAATGTATGCCTATTTATTTTATTATATTATAGATGTGTAAAATGTATACATAATAGAGTGAAAACTCTCCCCATTCGTGTCTGGTGTTTTGAATGGCAGCATGGCATGTGTTTGGGGGGGGGAGGGTTGGAAGGTATCATGTGCCTTATGATTTTTAAGGAAGACTGTGCTTTGTGATTTTTAAGGAAGACTGTGCCTTGTGATTTTTAACCATATGCCTATGCATATGGTCTATATGGTGTATAAGCTATTAATATCAAGCAAACTTCAAAGATACCATTTTGTTTGGGGCCTTTTTCTAGAATGGTAGCAGAGTTACTGTGTTGCAAAAAAAATTGTATTTTAATTGTTGTAAGCTGCCCAGAGACCTTTGAATAGAGTGGGTGGCATATAAGTTAAATAAATGAATGAATGAATAAAATAGAAACAAAACAAGAACATTGTGGCACTTTAAAGACAAACTAATTGTGTTCAGCATGTATTCATTTATTTCATAGAACTCTGATAATGTGTCATTGCGTTTTATATCCTGAAATGGGAATATTTATTGCAAGTATTTTCACTACTGACCCTGCAGCACTGCTTTTGAATGAGCATAGATGTTTAAATTTATAAAATACAATGAACTGTCCTCTAAGGAAAAAGTCTACATGATGTTCTGCATTAATAGCTTCACTGCTGTCCTTAGAATGTATCTTTCAAATAACAGGCAAAAACAAAACAAGACTAAAAAAGACTAAAACTTTGTGGCATCTTAAAGAGTTGCTGCTATATTTGAATGTCAGCTTTTTTGGACAAGTCCACTTCCTCAGCTTTATCAGATACTATCTGATAAAACATTCTTAAGCAACAGAATACACAAATTATTTATTGTCCTGTATATATAAGATCAGAGGCAGAAAGTATTGCATGTTCCATGTTTTTTCCTACTGCGATGATTTCAGTGGTCTCAAGGTTGAACTTTCAGTTTTCTCCTCTCTCTTTTTTTCTTTTCATACAGAACTTCCCCCAGTGAATAATTAAACCTTAAATAATGCTTTCTTCGAGCATTCTATCAACCATTGTCTACCTCTCACTCCACTACATTTTGCATTATAATTCAGGCTTATATTTGTTGTAATATATGCATAATTCTCCTTCAGAACTCTATCTTTGAGAACAATGTGCTTATCCAGCCTCTAAGTGCTTCAGGTAAGACAGTCATGGTATGGTTTCTATTCAGTCTTCTCATCGTCAGTCATTGTGCATCAAGATTAGATTATTTCTGCCCATACATCTCCTAGAAAATTGTTTCAGCTGGCGAAGAGGACAAGAAGTTTTTGGATGCACTTGTTTGAGACTCAAAGGGGAAGCATAAGACAAATGCAAAGGAGAATTGTATGCTGTTGAAGGAACATAAATATCTCAGAGGGCTGAAAGAAAGGTGTTTGCTTCAAGACTTTTCAGTTGCAGACTTTTTCTGAGATTAGTTTCTGAGTTCCTGAAACTTAGCTAAGCTTGTGGTACTGTTTACCACAAGGTGGTAGTTGACTCTCTTCTGTTACTGATATTCTCCAATACTAAGCTTGTATGGCGTGGTTGGAGAGCTTATAACCAACCATATTGCTTGTACTGGTGCAACATCCAGAGCACTGGGTGTAGCCTGCCTATCGGGGGTGGAGAATCCTCCAAGTGCTAAAAGTAAATGTAGATTTTGTTGACGAAAGAAATTTCCCTGAACTGAAAACTGAAGGGAATTGTTGTCAATTTAACTTACGGCAGAAAAAAATCCTGGTGCTAACTTCAGGACAGAGTTTCCCTACCTCTGAAAGGGGCTGTTGTACTTGAAAAATTGTTCATCACTTTCTTCCAAGTCAGAAAGGCTGATAAATCATCTTCATCTTGAGAGAAATGGGTGACACCTTTTTTTGACAACTGGAGGGCATGGATCAAGAATGGTGTCTATGTTAGGCTTAGCCAACTGCTGCTCATGAGGCAGAATCAAAGAGCCTTTTTAAGGTAGTGATTCCCAAACATTTTGGCCTCATGGCCCCCTTGATTACTGACCACTGGCCACAGCTCCCCTTATCGGAGGGGTCATCAGTGGTCTTACCACCAGGGGCAGGACCCTGACACCCTTCCCAGCCATCCCATCTACTCCCCACCAAATATCCATATGGGCCTGCCTTTTTCCAGGTCCAAAAGCAGGAAACCCACATAGCTAACCAGCAAGCACCTAAAGGGGGGGGGGGGGTTCAGCAAGGAGAGGCAAACACACAGCCTTCATTTCCAACATAGATCTATGAACAGCTCCTCCAAATAGAGCAATGAAGGCTCTAGGAAGGCTCCTCTACAACCTTCATAACTCTTTTCTTTTCATGTGGTGCCCCTAGCTTGGATCATGGGCACTCCACAGAGCTGTGGCACACAGTTTGGGAACCCCTGCTTTAAGAGGTATGACAGTTTGGAGTTTGAGGAGTGGAAGCATAAAATGTTAGAGGTTTCAGAGGGTGAGTTCTGAACTCCTTAGAAAAGCTGGGGAACCCCTGCTTTAAGAGGTATGACAGTTTGGAGTTTGAGGAGTGGAAGCATAAAATGTTAGAGGTTTCAGAGGGTGAGTTCTGAACTCCTTTCCAGAGAAAAGCTGCGCTCTACTGTGTTCTACAACCACTGGATTCTTTCTCCTGCTCTGCTGGCAAATGCATCCTGGGCTCCTACTCTTCATAGTGTTGCTTTTCACTCAGGTGGTTCTGAAGATAGAAGCAAAGCCTGTTCTGAGCAATGGCCAAATCATCTTCCCAAGGAACACCAGGATGGTTCAGCTTTTGAGCCTCCCTGATTTGAGACTGATCCTTCTTTTCTTCCACACCTTTGCTGTCGATAGCAATGCTTCAAAAATTTGACACTGGAATGAGTGATGGGATAGGGCACAATGCAGAACAGCTATGTAATATTATCTTATCTTTTGAGCCTCCCTGATTTGAGACTGATCCTTCTTTCCTTCCACACATTTGTTGTCGATAGCACTGCTTCAAAAATTTGGCACTGGAATGAGTGATGGGACAGGGCACAGTGCAGAACAGCTATGTGTAATATTATCATCTCTCATTGCATCAAATGCATGGATGTGTTGATCCTTTGTGGGGAGGGGAGGACAGAGTCAGTTCTGCCCTCCCTGATTTGAGACTGATCCTTCTTTCCTTCCACACATTTGTTGTCGATAGCACTGCTTCAAAAATTTGGCACTGGAATGAGTGATGGGACAGGGCACAGTGCAGAACAGCTATGTGTAATATTATCATCTCTCATTGCATCAAATGCATGGATGTGTTGATCCTTTGTGGGGAGGGGAGGACAGAGTCAGTTCTGCATCTAAACTTTAATCTTTCTGCATGGTTCCTTCAATCTGTGCTAACAAAGATTGCACAGGAAATGCTCCACATGACTCAGGACAGCAGAGAAGGGTGGCATCACTGACTTCACTGCAGTCACCTCACTTCTTGCAACTCATGCAACATATGCAGGCATTCTGCATTCCACTCCTGCAGATAATGCATAAACCCACAGATTCTCTCTCTCACACACACACGCACACACACGCACATGCACAGTCACAGAGAAACCAAAGATGCAACACACACACACACGCACACGCACGCACATGCACATGCACAGAGAAACCAAAGATGTGTGTGGTAAAAGACACGTTTATCATTTTGACATAAATAAAATGACTTTGTAGCAGAGAGACAGCAGATCAATGGAAAAACAGCTCACTCTGCCTGATACTTTTCACAATCCAATTCATCTCTATTTTCGGGATGTTGAGCCTTCTACCAAGCATCACTGTTTGGGTGGTGATGTGTGTGTGCTGCTCTTCATCATTGCCACATGCTGCTGGGTACTCATTTAATGAAATAAAACTAATAGAGGAATAAGATGGGTGGGGAAATAAACCTAATAGAGGAACTAGATGGGCGGGGTAAAAATTCAATAATTAAATAAATAAGAGAATCTTTACTAGATGGCAAATTGATCCACTGTGCTTAACTGACAATAAGGGGTCACTACTAGAGATGGGCACCACCTGGAAAACTGGTGATTCATGATAGTTTGTGGTTCTGGCTACCCTTAAACTATCATGCCCCCCAAGAACAAAACTGGTTCAAACTGGTTCATGCTGGGGGGTGAGGAACCACCTATCCCACCCTCTGCACACATTGCCTCCCTAACGTGTCCTGAAGTTGCCACCACTTCTACCAACATCTTCAGAGTCAGCAGGCCTGGCTCCTTCACAGAAGCCAGACCTGCTGCCTGTGCTCAGGTATCCACCGCTTAGCTGAGAGGCAGGCACATGTGTATAGTACTGTACTTTCAAGTTGGACCAAATTTATAGAGAACCTAATAGGGATTTCAAGGTGAGCGAAATATTTAAGAAGTGGCTTTACCAGTTTCACCATCCATAGCCAAGTGCTCTGCTGAGTCTTAGCCAGTCACTCTCTCTGCGGGATACAAGAGAGAGTCACAGGTCACAAAATCAAGACACACGGCGGTTTTGGGTCTTCCAACCTCTGAACATCAGCTAGCCTAATATTGTATTCTAAAATTAATTCTAATCTTAATTCTAATAATTCTAACATTTATTTCTTTAAAATATTTTACCCCACCTTAAAAAGGATGAAAGGTAGCTTACATCATTAAAAAAAACAATTATCTGAAAGCTAAAAATAGTACATATACAAATATTTAAAAAGAAATAAACAAATATTATATTAAAAACATTAAATAAAATCAAGGCTAAAACACATTTAAAACAACTGAGTCCGTTTAAAAACACCTTTCAGCCCACCAGTCAATAAGGAAAAGCCCATCTGAAGAAAAAGGTCTTTGCCTGCTTGCTGAGGGACAGCAATGATGGAGCCAGCCAAGCTTCCCGTGGGAGATAGTTCCAGAGTCTGGGAGCAGCAACAGAGAAGGCCCTCTCCCGTGTCCCCACAAAGTGCACCTGTGAGGGTGGTGGGAATGAGAAAAAGGCCTCTGCCAATGACCTTAAAGCTTGGGCAGGCTCATAGATGCGGTCTTCTAGATTGCTTGGACTCAAGCCATTTAAAGCTTTATAGGTTAAACTAGCACTTTGAATTGTGTGTGGAAAGGCACAGCAATCAGTGGAGCTGCTGTAACAGGAGTTCTATATGTTCCCTCTAACCAGCCTCAGTTAGCAATCTGGCTGAGGTATTTTGAATCCTCTGGGATTTCTGAACAATTTCCAGAGGCAGCCCTACGTAGACAGTGTTACA